CTCTCACGAAATTTATGGTTCCATTAAATTTTGCATTGATTACTATCTTCAATTTGTCACCGGGAACACTATGCTACAACTTGAGTAGTACTTGAATATTGTCCCCACTCCTCGTTCGGCTCTCTTACCTTTTAATCACCTGCGCCCACAAGGCTACCGGCCTCCCCACTGCAGCAGAAAACAACTGTTTCAAGGGCTACTCAATATGCCCCCCTTCCCCTCTGATTCGATTTACCACCGCTGACCTCAAAGGCTTGCGATTCCTCTCCCCCTTGCAGGTACAGTATTGTCTCTGTATACGTCCACCCCTTCCCTTCGCGCTGGCGTCTTCAGACCAATCCTGAGGCCATAGGAATGCCCTCCTGATATCATATAAAAGCAGAGCCACGCCCCTTCTCCCACTAACACACACAAGCTTTCCCACGACTAGTTTCGCCCCGCGTGGTGTTATTGTTGAACTCGCGTTGTTCCCTTATATAGAGTCAGGCGATTTGGCCGACTCCCTTCGCTCTTGACCTGGTTTATCCATTGTTGAGGTTTGTACTTTGATTACTTTTTACCGTACTGCCTTGATAGTTGTTATCACTGGGTTTTGAAGTACGTGTGGCTGCTGGATACAGAGGTAAAGAAGGAATCACGAAACATCCAAAATGGTGATTAAATTACAGCAGGGCGTGCACCAGGGAACCCGGGGCATGTGGTGAGGTGACCAGAAGGTTCTATAAATACTCAATCTTCGTGTCTATATCAGTCCTACTTGTGCATTTTTTTGATGTTAACTTCAGCTGAGAATCCAAAACGTCAGATCACTAAACAGCGCATTAGGTTATTTAAACAATTTCTGGGACATAAGGTAGGATTCCACCCAGAAGGTGACAGTTTCAGAGGGTAATGATAGCGGACGCAGGTGGCGCCGACCGCACTCTTCACCTTCACTCTTCACAGGAAACCGCCCAGCTGTCGGCCGCCTGAGTTGGGATGGGCGCAGCGCTGAAAAGGAAAATCACCACACTAAGTTAAATAGTCCGTGTATTGGTGTGACAGTTACCTGTGAATGCTTATAGGCGTGCTGTCAAAATCAACACCGGCTGGTCGCACTGCAGTCGTCAGTGTAGGGCGTGGAGGACAGGAGGAACTGGTTTGCTTCGTCTGCTGCACTGAGGCTGCCGTCCGCAGACGATTGACCAGTTGGTCTCCGTGAGCACCCCCTGCTCCGTCCCGACGGTCGGATAGACGGTGTGTTGACGAACGAAGCCGCAGGACTCCACTGTGACGAGACTGTAGATGATATGTGTGCTCAGAGCGTCTGCCCCGGCGGCCGCGGACCCCGCCGCCGCTACTACGCTCGTCGTTGTAGGACTGCTGCCGCTGGCTGAACCAGAATTCATAAAGGACTTCAGAGTGCCAAAACGGTTTCGCCCAGCCTCCGACGAATCCCCAGAGGGGCTCTCACAAGCCGACAACGGCAGGGACGAGGATGGTAGTCTCAGATTGGGTATCTGCGTGGATTGGGTTGGAATGAGGGCGACAAAGACTGGCATGCAGGTATGGGTCGTCGCCATGGTCGGTGGAGGAGGATGATAGGAGAAGACGACATCGATTGCGGCCTAAAGTGAGAAAATAAGGCAGATGGGGGTTGCGGAAGAGGTTGAGTTTAATGGCGCTGATACATACACGTGGTATATCGCTTGCCGTCTTGTGCGTGCGATATCGATTAAGTCCACCATCTGCACTAAACAGATTGGTGCAGGAAAGTGACTGGAGAACAGGGGGTAAATTTAAACTGATAATAGACATAGCAAGAGTCGACCGCACTCTTAAACTTCACCCGGGGTCAAAAAGACCAAACGAGATCCAGTGTAGGCCGCTTTCTCCAATGCAGGCCAGCAACACCGCTTAACTTTGTCTTGAGTGACAGTAGACTTTGCGCGGGTACTACCGCATTACCAATCCTCGCTCCCCTTCAATAGGTTTGAAGACAGGTTCAAGGAGGCCGAGGCTGATACGGCCACTACTAACTAGCAAGGTAGCTGAGGGTTAGTCATATTGATACTATTTCTGACGCTAATATTAGTCCGAGGTGACACTGATTAAAAATCAGCACAGGGCCTCATACACCCTTGATCCCAGCAAGGACTGTGAATCTGGGATTATGCTATTCCGAGTAAATACATGCTTGAAGACCGGAGCACATCAGGGCCTGCCTTTATTTCCATCCTCTCAACTCCCTCTCTCCACCAGGCTGTAACCGTTTCTACTAGGTTTGAACTACGAGGACGAGGATACTGCTGGTAGAAGTAATTGTCTTACTTACTAAGACCAATAAATAGTATACTTTAATATGGCCTGTGTGTGCTCTTAGGAAGTCGGCACCCGATATGCACTCCGGTCTAGTAACGGTACGAGGCAAGGCATATTCGGCAACTATTCACATATTACTCACCATTAGCGAATTCAGAGCCTTTTTATCGGCCTTGAGCTCGGTTAATTGAATACAAGTGAGTAAAAAATTAAGATGGCGGAGGACTTGATGGAGTTTTCCATCAAACTTGAGTCTAATGGGCAAGGTTTCACACTCAGGACCCACTCAAAGACTTCTGACAACCATAAATGAATTGGAAGCCCAATGCTAATTCCATGTACTATTCATTAAGTCTGGAGGATCTAATGAGCTCATAGAAGTATATGATCGACAGTTAAATCTTAGGCAGATAATAGTGCCGGCAAAGACAAGGGAGGCCGGAATGCCCATTTATGGCTTATAAGCGTTGTCAGCCAGTCATATCCAGACCACCCGAGCCTCGAGCTCGCGACCTCTTTGCTCAGAGTCAAGCGCCCTAACCATTGAACCACGAGCTTTTGTCGATGTCTTCCGACCTAAATCGGCAAGAAAACGAGCTCGTTGCTCAGTATTTAGGACTTTCGACTTTGACCAAAAAGGTCGCGAGTTCGAGCCTAGGGTGCTGCGTCACCTGGGGTTGGGTATGACTGGCTGATGACGGCTAATGAGCCAGAAATGGTCATTCAAGTCTCCCTTGCCTTTGCCGGCACTATTATCTGCCTAAGATTTAACTGTCTGATCGTATACTTCTATGAGCTCATTAGATCCTCCAGACTTAATGAATAGTACATGGGATGAGCATTGGGCTTCCAATTCAGTCATGGTTGTCAGAAGTCTTTGAGTGGGTCCTGAGTGTGAAACCTTGCCCATTAGACTCAAGTTTGATGGAAAACTCCATATCTGCCTATAATACCAGGTGCTACGGCTTTCAGGGCTGTTGGGGCAGATGAAATCCGTTAGCGGTCAGGTGAACGTTCATCAACCAGATAAGCCTTATGTCTAACCACTGACATACGAGAGCGAATTACGCATGTGACGATCATTTTTCAAGAATGCGCATAAAAATGATTTAGAGGGCAAAAATGCATGCAGCGGAACGATAAGAGCCTAGAACGTATGCCACCTAGGATACATCACTATAGTACTTGCGTCGATTGGGAGAAGGATGAACGATAAGGCATTGGAATTGATCGGGGATATGCGTTGCCCTCCTAAGCCCTAGGTTCGTTTAAAAAAAGTCTGCAACCGCTCTTGCGTCATCATCTCTTGCTTATTTTTCCTCACTACCGTCTAGGGGCATTTGGATTGACTAGACTGTATTCATTGGACTTTGATCTTACCGTTTCCAAATGTTTTTTTCTGTACGAATATACAAAACTAGATATTCACTACAAGTTATTTATCTAATTAGGCAACAGGAAGCAATCACGAAATTTGTTGCCGTCACTCAATCCTCCCGTCAATGCTTCCTTAAATCAAGATCAGGAACACACCACTACATATAATACTTGCGCCTTCTTTGCGCCTATTTTAGACCGAATAGAGCAGCCCAGCACCTTAGAGGTTCAGCCGATGCTCGAAGTTAACTAATAGTTAATAGAGAAGAGCACTGGACAGCATTTTCTGTACGGCTTTAAATTGGAAAAAAGTACTTAATTGGGGTTTCCGAAGTTGATTATCACAAAATCATGTGCCATGCCGTCTGCTGACGAGTTATTTTTTGAAGTGGTAAATTTTATAGCCGCTGTTGTAAAACCTCCTGGGAAAACATATGAAGAAAATAACCGACAAAGACAAGGGGAGTGGAATGACCAGTTGTGATTTATTAGTCGTCATCAGCCAATCAGATCCAACCACAGGTGTTGCATCACCCGAGTCTCGAACACGCAACCCACCGGTAAGAAGTCGAACACTCTAGTCACTAAGTCACGGGCTCATTGTCGCTTTCTATTGGGAAAATCTAACTCCAAGGTAAGACTCAAGGCATTACGGGACTAGTGAACCCCGCATCCCATCGGTGAGCACCCATCCACCAATGAATGAATTAACCCTGCCCGCCAGCACTCACTTGTGTTTTACGGAAAGAATTCAAGAAGAAAAATCTAATTCTTATGGTAATTTAAAAAGGATTACCGGAATGTCTCCTTCGCCTAACTATAAAGTCCAAGGCGTAGTTTTGCTAACAGCAAGCAGAAGTCCGTTTTTAGAGTACTCGAGTTTATGGAAAATACTGGCCACTTGCGCCCTAGTTTTCTCCAGTACAGGAACCCAGTTCTGACGAAATGCCCTAAGAAGCAGCCTGGAAATTTCGCTTAAGTTATTTTTTGTTGTTTTAAAGTGCATCGAAAAACTCTGGTTAATGATGAGTTAACGCCTCGGTGAAAAGGGGAGTAGATCGGATGTCCCCTCCCCCGCCCCCGACAGGACATGAGAATCTTATTCCCTCTCTTGGCCCCCTCCCTCCCCCACGTAACACAGGGGTCCTGCGCGTCAAATCCACCCCAACCATAATCCCTAATTTCAACTCTAAACCTAGCCTTAACCACAATCTCTGTTGCCTTCGAATTTAGCGTAAAACTGCCTGTTCTATGGGCAGTTCCCGTTCCTATGTAATGCCGGCAGGGCCTAATGCAAGTAGACAGAGCTACAAGGATCGAGGTGGAGATCAGGCTGCCCCGCACCAGGTTTTGCCGATTCACCTTTTCGCATGCAGATTTGGCAAGTGCTCAAGCCCACAGTTCCGTACACAGTAAACCAAAATGCCACAGGTTCCTATGATGAAGCCGCTCCAGAAGACTACTGTGGACTTTTTCAAGGCCATTTTTGTGTCTGAAGCGAAATAGTATCAGACAAACAGCAAAGGGCAGAGAGTATTTCTACGGTAAAAAGAGGATGTTTTTGAATAGAGTTGCGGTCGTTTGAACATCCGTTTTCAGTGAATCAAAGACGTGATTTAGGAAACCGATTAGCGGCTGAGGAAACTATAGACAGCGAGGAAACCCAAATGGTTTTCGCCGATTTAATTTCTAGTAGGACAAAATTCACGCGCAATGCAACCGTCAGCCAACCCTAAGGTGGACACGGTGGAATAAGTCCCTCGAAATACTTCTTGAATTCGAAAGCTTCCATATTAAAATTTAAAGTAAATTAAAACTCCATCTGTACATTTCTTCCGAAATTAATTTATAACTGGGAGTAGATCCGTATATTTTAAAAAGAAGACCCCAATGTTACCCTGTCACAAAGCTTAAAACGCTGGCAACTCAAATATTATTTCCCCAAGTAGCGCATAAATCAGTACCGATGTCGCGAACCGACTGGAAGAAGCGACCACCAATCGAAACTTAATGACAAAAAGTACAGTGAAGGCACTTTGACGTAAGCGTCAGACAATTAGTGACTCTTGGACAGGTCTAGAAAAGTAAATGTTTTACATGTTTGTCGAACGTGTTCAGATGACCACGGGAACCAGCGTCAAAAAGTTACAAAGAAACGTTGTTCTTAATTAAAATAACCTGTCCAACACCAAAGTTAACTTCTGACCTGAGAACCCGGTTACCTAAGACCAAAGTTTGGGGTAGGGCTGGCCGATAACATTTCATAAACTGATAGTATTGTCGGCAAAGACAAGGGAGACTGGAATGGCCATTTCTGGTTTATTAGACGTCATCAGCCAGTCACACCCAGACCCTGATTCGGCGCGAAAAACACCCTCCTCCCTAGCCCGTATTGTACGCTGTTCAAAGGGTTGTGTGTAGGCCGATAGTATTACCGGTAAAGACAAGGGAGATTGGAATGGCCACTTCTGGTTTATTAGCCGTCGTCAGCCAGTCATACCCAGACCCAAGTGGCGTCCCACCCGAGCCTCGAACTCGCCAGGCTGCTACAGCTGTCAGGGCCTCTGTCGAGACCCAAGGCAGAGCTACTTTTTGAACCAGAATTCATGAAGGACTTTAGAGTGTCCTAATGACAGGTCTAGAAAGGAAACTGATTTTCATGTTTGTCGAACGTCTTCAGACGACCACGGGAATCAGCGTCGATACTTCAAAAGGAAACGTTGCTCTCAACCCAAATAATTTGTACGACATCAGAGTAACCTCCTAATCGGAGACCCCTGTTACCGGAATTCCGGATGATACGGCCCGGCGACAGTCAATAAACTAGAAATATTGATGTTGTCATTTACCGTACTAACAGCCCAGATACTAGCTAAAGGCCCAGACACGTGTTTCGCCGGTATTCTGTCACTGCT